CCTCAAGTTGTTTTTCGATCTCTCATTGAGATATTTCAGAATTCGTGCGGTCAAAACTGTCCTCAGTTTCCTAAAATACAAAATAATGGCTTTCACGAAAAGTCGATTTAGCTCAAAGGTAAGTTTTCAAGGAATATCTCTGAATCTAGAAGAGATGAAGCAATTTTCGTTAATACCTTTTTTGTAGCTTTCATTCTACTCTACAAAAGCGGTCATGAAATAAATTTTGGTATTTCGAGATACCAATTCCGCGATTCGGATTTTCGAGATATTTCGCGAAATCTCGACTACGGGACGATCTAATTTACCCGTCACATCTTTGCATTTGAAATATTTTCATTTTCATTTTACCTGATGAGATCAGATACTACCAAAGCTGATGTACGCTGCGGTAGTCTGGAGGCCAAGGGTAGGAAAGGTGGAAATGAGGAACCCGTTGCAAGGCCTACAGGGAATTTTCCTGAGGGTAGCAGCGGGGACCATGAAGATCATAGCTTATGAGGCGTTTGAAATAGCAACCTTTAGACCTCAGAGTGATAAGTTGTAAGCACAACACCTTACAGGTTGCGATGTCAGCAAGAATGGAAAACGTCAAGCCAAGGTCATTTTCAACTTAGCTTGATAAATGGAAATCCTTTGACAGGTAGATCCGACAGGGGGAAAAAATATCAAATTAATAAAGCCTTCAAAACCAGAATACCATTCAGAGAGCAGTGACTAGATTCTGAACTTAAACCTGGACCCAGGGAGGAGTATTAGTTGCCGATAGATTTGGCTACAACGACCGATTTGGGGCGGGAATCTAAAGATTGAAAGATAGCTTCGAGAAAAGCTTTCTCTTGGGCCAGTGTGTAACAGTCTTTCAAGTCGAGGTGTTGGCCATAGTCAAGTGTGCCGAGCACCTGGTAGCAAAGAGACGGAAGGTATGAAAATCTTCATCTGCAGTGACAGCCAGGCGGAAATAAAAGCAATGGAAAAAGCAACTACTAATTCCAGTGTGGTGCGGGAGTGCATGCAAGCTCGTGCCACTCTGGGACAGAAGAAACTACAGGGGAACGAAGAGGCGGACCAGCAGGTTAAGAGAGGAACGGAGGGCGTTCCTCCGGAGGGTGTGACGCGTATGGCCTTCGTAGTGGGTAATAGAATCAGAAAAGACCAACTACAGCGGAAATTTCAGGCTAAACTGGCTAAACTGTTTATGAAGGCGTAATAAACTAAAATGAGAACTTCTCGCTCTGAACAGGAAAAATCTGAGGATTGCGATAGGACTTCTGCCAGGCCACAATACCCTCAGGGCTCACCTGTTCAACATGAAGCTAGGCGAACGGGTAGCCTACCCTAGGCTATGTGGAGCCGGTAGAGAGAGGACGTCGCACATTTTCTGTGCGAATGCGCTCTACTGACTTTACGAAGAGATAGGAGCTGGGGCCAGGCTTTCATAGAACCAGCGGACCTAAATGAAGTAGTGGTAACCAGCCTCATTAACCTAGTGAAAGACAAAGGACTGGGGCTGGCAGATTGATCAATACAAGGCAGATGTTACAAAAAATATTTACGGCTTAGATGACTCTGGGCGAAAAATTGAGTGGCCGCACTTTTCTAAATCTAAATCTTACCTGATGAGAGCTCTGTTCTGGATCAATTCACGACTTAAATTCAGGGGAATATCCTCGGAGTCAACGACACCTTTAACGAACCGCAGCCACTTAGGTAGTAAATTGTTGGCTTTGCTCTTTATCAGTACTTTTCTGCTGTAGAGGGAAATCCCCACTGATGTGTCTCTGCTCAGTTCTAAGAGTCCCGGCTTATCGTCTGGGAAGTATAGGAGGGCGCGTATGCTGAGGGGTACGTCGGCGGTATAATGGAGGATGAACCTAGGGGCATCGACGAATTGGAGATGAAACGATAGAACTCAGCGTGTTGCTCGGCTGTTACTTCCTTAGGGTCGAGCATCCATATTGGTTGGATCACATTCACACGTTTTCCATTCACGAAAATTGGACTGCCCACAAAGTTACTGTATTTCTTGATAATTTCTGTGAAAAGAAAACGTAAAAATCCCAGTTAAAAGCCAGAAAAACGATTGTCTAAATATCGATAGTATAACTTAAAAGCCTAAAAATATGCCTTTTTATTTAGAGAAGCATTTCGCTGGTTTGTTTTATATAAATAGTGAAATGTTTTATGCAAAACAAAAAATTATATGTGTAGAAATCGAAGTTCTGAAAACTAGTTGAGAATTATTATTCTACACATTTTTTAAACTAAAAAAATATTTTTGGCTCAAAAATAAAACTGTCGGACAAGAAATATACGATCATTCTTTGTTTCTAAGTAGAATGAAAGAAATCTTAATGTGATTTCATTATATTTCAGATGAGTGTCATTTTGGATCTTTCCTCTACAATCTAATTAGTCGAAAATTCCAGAAATCAAAATAATATTCTCACGATTAATAAGTTCCCTCGTCACTGAACTCTCTGGAGTCAGTCTTAAGGTGCATCACGATTTGAGTTCCTGATTGAACCCCTCTGCCTCAGATATTTCGTAAGTCCCCAATCTGCAAATTAAATAATCTAGAATAAACCTGTAATTAGTATCATCAATCACTAAGTAGAATTTAATATTCACCCGGTGGAGGACCAATGTAACCCCTTGGCATCCTTCTCATAGGACTTCGTAAACACTTCAACCTTGTCAGCAAACATGAACGCACTATAAAAACCTACACCGAACTGTCCAATTATGCTGGCAGAGTCCCCTGCTGCCTGATTCGCCTTCAACTGCTCTAGAAAAGCCTAAATAAATAGATCGATAGTCTATAATAAATAAAATAAAATGAATAAGATAAAATCAGAATAATTGGATAAAGACTAAAAATGTTTGTTCCATTACTTCAGCAGATATCTAGTCATGGACTGAATTTCTCCCAAAAAAAATGTATCGGGTTAAATGTCTGAAATAAAATTACTGTTAAAATTTATTCCATTCTCGAAATTTCAAGAGAAATAATATGCATAATCAGGTCATGAATTTAAACCCCAGTCTAAACTGGATATTTGTCAATAAAAACTTCTGTTTAAAAAACATTTCGAGAAGTCTTCTAAATAGAACTTTTATGATAGAAATCCACCTTCGAGCCAGATCGCGCAATAGTCCCCAAGTTGGACACCAACTCCTCGCGAGTCATCCCAATTCCGGTATCCTGAATCGTAAGTGTTCGATTTTGTTTGTCTGTGACAATGTGAATCTCTAACTCCCTGTCGCCCCCTTCTTCGGGGGATAGATTCCTGCTAAGCCTGAGATATCGTAGTTTCTCGAGAGCATCACTGGCGTTAGATATCAACTCTCGAACAAATACCTGATAGAAAAATCAACACATAATTAATATTTTAAGCGTAACTTTTAGTTCATTCAAATTGTATTAGAAATAATGAACTTTTCACCTCTTTATCAGAGTACAACGATTTTGCAACGATTTCCAAAAGCATTTGAGTTTCTGACTGGAACTCATGCTGAGCACTTTCTCCTGGAAACAGGAAGTAGAACGAATAAGTAACTTTTTCGAATTTCCTCGTTGTCCTTCTGCTGTAGTAAATGAATATGCGACACTTTTCTTCTTTTTCGCCGATTTTACAAATACTGCTAACAAGGGTTACCTGTTCGTTTCTCTGTATTTTTTACGATATTATGATACTCCACGTCTGTTTCACTCTTAGGAGCTGCCTGAGAAGTTAGAAATCTGGTATTTCTCAAGGAAGAAGAAAATCCTAGAAGTACACAAATGGTTAGCCTCAAACATAACCTAAACCTCTTACGACAGTAGATGAAAATATGATATTAATGTACCTAGACACTGCAGCGATCGATATTCGAGGAGTACAAATCTGTGATTGTAATTAATCGACTTGGAAAACAATTTCCCGCACGTGATCACATATGCCGTAGTCGACAGGCGGCTACCATTTTTCTTTACTACTACTGTGCCGAGGGATAGCGAGTTTCTCTGTTACCGACTTCAATTTTCTGCAATACCGTCTTCAATTTTCTGCAATACCGACTTCAATTTCCTGTAATATCGACATTTTCGTCCAAATCCAACATCTGTATTTGATTTGTCAAACAGGTCTTGTAAGAGTTCTCAAAGTGACTAGTAACATATTTACACACGTTTCTCATTAATCTCAATTTCGCTATCTACTGAAGTAATTTCATACCATCGACCGTTTTTAGGCATAATTATGATCGATTACCATTTTTATAAATAAATCTATACATTTCTGAAATGAAAACGATCCGAGGATTAATTAAACATCACTTCTAATTGATGTATTTATACAAATAATAATAAAAATACCGATTTCATTAGTGGAGTATTGCAATATCAATTTCAGTGATTTGATATCAATGACTGATCTGGATCAATCGCTTAACAACTGTACTAATCTAGATTTACATATTGTGTAACGCTAACCAAAATTCTATTCCATTGATCACTTTCCTTCCACACAATACCGTCATATAAACAGATTATAACAGTAACAATTGTTCATCTATACTTCGAGGAAGCTGCAAGTACAGGAGGAGATAGTATTAGCTGCGTCGTTCTCTGTGCATCCACATTTAAAAATATTCTTTTCAATCGACGAATATTCAAAATGATCAATGAATTTTTAAAATGACCACGTCATCTGTGCTACAATAATGGTAAAGTCTCATACCGAAGACATGCAAATTATCAGTTTTTGTTTATAAAATTGAAATAAGAAATTGTCGATGTAGTTGCTTGTATTAATACATGAAGATTATAAATATTACAAATTTCTATTATATGGAAGGCCGAATACAATTCTACGAAGGTATCGATTTAATTAGCTACTAATTTTATTTTTTTCATATGTTAATTCAACAATGATGCATTATCGATTTCATTCCTTCCGATTCTTACTCATTCGCTTCGCAACCATGGATATAGGTTACGGTATTCTAGAGAATTTAGTTTTGGCGGTTGGTATTTTCGATATCCCACAATCGGGCATGGTGACCTCAAGCCGTTATTGTCTATTATTAATCTCTTGAAGGTTAATAACATTCAATAATCGAGGTATATGTACATAAATTAGTAATTAAGTGATACTGGTGCTTTACCGCCTAATAACAAGACCATTTCCACATTTTGTTAGCTACAAAATAAGTCCTTTGAAAATGTATCGAGATAGATGGAAAATTATTAAAAATCGATTAAACAACAAGAATGTCAAACGTTCTCAGCTCACTAAATATACCTCAGAATCTAACAGGGACAGCGAAATTTTAGTTGAGACCCCTTTTGTAGTCTTGATTACATTCCACAAAACACTTCCGAGAGAAATTTCGCTATTTGCTCTAGATTTTCAGGTTTTTATGAAAAATTGAGTAACCGACGACTTGAATCTTGAATCGCCTTCGCCGTTGAATTGATTAATTAATTTAGTACGAGTTGCACAACTCCTCATATCCTGATAAATATCGATTTCATCTCATGAATGACTGACTCGAGTCGCAAATGTCAAGATTTTTTTTATGGAACATTTCTCAGCTATAACAAAAGTTGTTCGATCTTTCCCTTGAATCTGTTCATTGTCGAGATGAGGATGATGATGATATTAGTTTACATATAATGAGACATTTATTGACACCTCTTTTTTCAGGTTATAGCCAAACGTTGGCTATAATGAGCTCGTCACGGGATAGATATCCAGGGAGAAGAATTATTGTCGATCTTATACTGAAATTCATCGAGCACTTTCGAACAGACCCATTACCAGTGTACAATTCTCCAGTGTGGGTACAAATGAGCCAGGCTTGCGAGAAGCCATTCACTTCAAGGGAAATATGGATCAATGTAATTCAGGACAGAAAGGGGGTTCTGACAAACCCCCTATTATTATTAACTATTTGACAAAAGCAAGGGAGCTGGACAATCCACAAAACGAAAATATTTTCGAGGACGACGATCAACTGAACGAAGAATAGAGCTGAGAATTCAAACTTTTCCCTTTTTTGTTCCAATTGAACATGTTGATTATTGTACACAGACGAAACTTCTTAAAAAAAATGTTCATTGAATAAAAAGATTCTTGCGTAGATGATTTTAAGCCCACGTTATTTAGAAATAGAACATAAGGATATGGAGATATATCAATGAGTGGTAGCTTTTACTAGAAAGAATCACGAAATAATTGGAAGCAACAAGCGCTTTTAAGATTTTAGCCTAAAATGGATAGTTACTGCCTTTTAATTATCCAGGCAATGAGGTGTTAGAAAGATTTGTTTTTTTATTGCAGAATTCAATCTTTCAACGCTCGTCGAGAATTTAGCGTTTTTTTTCTTGCTAATTGTGTGCATGAATTAATTTTTATGATTAGGTGTGATAGGGATTCTGAGGAGGAAATTATGCAATGAATTATCAAACTTTCAGGATCGTTACTTTTTTATTACAAAGCAATTATCTGATTATTGTCATATTACAGTACGTATCAAGACATTCCGTACAGAAATTATATTTAACAACATTCTTTCCCCTCTTCTCATATGACTTAGAGCTTCATATCATTTCATTATGGCTTGATATCTTCGTCTAGAATCATTCATTGACAACATGAATAGATTTCCATCAGGATCTAAAAATTTGACTCATGCCGAAACAATTGATCAATGATAACAATTACACATTTAAATCGACAATGAGTGGATTGAGGAGTCAAATTCAGAAAAAAAAATTTCACAGGTGAGAAAACTTGAAGAAAAATGTTTTGATATTTCCTCTTAAGATGATTCATTATTGTGACAAATCGATACTTAATGAAATATCTTTATCCCTTCAGAGCTGGCTTAAGTCTAGTTAAGGGTATCGAAGTATTTTGCCAATTTTTTTCAGTGAAATGCTTCTACTTTTGTAGTTGAACATCAGACCTTTCATTTGAGCCCCATTTGACCCTAAGTTTTCGGACACTTTAGCATGATTTCATTATTTAAATTTTGAAGGTTTCAATTTAATTCTCAATTTTGAACTGTTACGTCAAGAATGGGTTACTTGACACAACTTTATTAAATTAAAATTCAATACATTGAACCGAAGAAACAAGATTAAATTCAAAGATCGTCTCGAATATAAGGAACAGAATTCAAACACAAAACCCATTTACAAAGGTCCCCTTTTACTTCAATTTTCTAGACCCCAAAAAGGTTTGGAATCAAAGGTTGGAAAGGTCCACTTGGAGTAAAATGAAAAGAATTTTGAATAACTTTGAAGTGACTCAATAGAGTCTATATTTTAACAAAATAAGTAGAAAAGTATAACTACAACATTCGACTTACATTCACTGCTCTGCTTTCAGTCGTAAAGTATTTTGTATGTGGTTAAAAGTAATGCCGCACTGAATTTAAGACGTTGGATTAAATTCTTTATTTAAATGAATCAAATAATTAAAAATGTCACAAGACTTGGGATTTCAGAAAATAATTTAGTTACGAAAGACTAAAACGGAAATTAAATAGTCATCCAAGACTATATGAAAATTAAAGGTCGCGAAAAACCCAAAATATCGCCTTAATAGGTCGATAATAAAATTGGAACCGTGTCCAAAAGAAACTGGAGTATACTAACTCTCAGATATGAGCTACTACTACTACTGTAGCGATGACTACAAAATGCAATCGGAACTGTAACTGTCGTGCTGCTATCGCGCACAAGTCTTTATAGTTTATCTAGGAGGGTGTGTCCTCAGAATGCATAGGGAAATTTCGGGGACCAATTACAAATGACTCTAGCCGAAATTTCCCACTCCAGTGGTTTGAAATCTCCTTGTTTCGAGATCAACTCCATCTCTCTACATGAAGATCTTTTTGGGGTGTAAGCGGTCTTTTCTATTCCCCAACAACCAATGAAAATTGTTTTAGGAATGCCCATATATTCCCTCCACAATTCTCTTTTATCTCTTATTTTCAACTTAGCGTTAACATCTTTGTTATTTAATTTTTTTGAAACAATTCAGATAAATTTCATGAAATTTTATGATAAATTATAATTCATTGAAGAAAAATAGTAATCTAATAGTAATTCAATAATAATTCAATGACATAAAAATATTGTTTAAACTTTAATTATTTTGTGGTTTTCCACGTTGATAATATTTCTTAAACAATTATGATAGTTTAATTAATATCCGAAATGGAAAATTATTCATAAAAGAATCATTCTGTTGTATGATGCATTTTACTATTTTTGTGTCACATGTTCGTCAATGTTTATGTCATTTCCTCCATGTGGGAAACGAAATCGTTACTCTATTTTTATATCAAATATTTGTCGTGGGAGTTACAAAATTTGGACCCACACTTAGAATTTGTTATCAACAGTTTTCCGGTTCAAGAGTCCAGTGTTTATTGAAATTTACGGTCATACGTGGAAAGTACATGATTAAGGAGACGAGACTAGACTCAAATGTTTACAGTGCATCTGATATTGTACAGCTGATATCTCCTTAATCTAGGAGAAACTCGACGTTGGGAACATTTTTATCGTTCACAGATGTGTGCAGCCGAAATATTCCCAACATCGAGGGGGTCGCTTTCCCTCGTCACAGAAGATAATTTGGGTTTCAAAAGTCGCTTCTATCACTGAGATAATTGAATGACGACGTAAGAAAATGAATTAAAATGAATTTTCTGACGGATGTCACAGAACTATAAAGAAAAATTCATTAATTCTTGGAAAAAAAAATTGGAAGCTCTACTTTTGGAGGAAGACTGATAAAATAATTGGAAAATAGCCACTTTAAGTGATAAGGAGTATTCTTTGTAAACTATTCATATACAATCAATTTTCCACTAAAAAAATTATTCCTTCGGAATCGTAAGAAAATTATTCATATTCAGAATTTTACGAAAAGTCGATTTTATTGCTAAAAATAAATTTTTGTAAAGTTTAGACAATCGCAGTTATTTATTTATAAGAAGAAAATGTGTCGGAAAATAAATCTGTTTAAAATGTTATTCGAGTGACACTGAATATCTATGATCATAATGAGATTTCGCTTTTCAATTTTTTTCCCGCAAATTCATTGACAAATTCGATGATTAAAAATGTCTGAATCTGTAGTATGACCTATCCCAAACTGTAAAAGATATTTAGATCTCTTTGATAACTCGACGTAACTCACCTTCAAGTCTAGTTAGAAATTATAATTCTACATATTGCCAGTATCCATCGTTCAGATAGGATTTTCAAATGAATTTTTGTAGTATCCACGGATCTTGTTGATACTTTCGTCTAATCAAAAAACAAAAACAAAGATCAATATAAATATTCAATTTATGGGAGAGCATAAAAATATCTACTAATAATGGAACTCACTCTTCGAGATCGATATCGGACAATAACAACAATAAGGTTAATTTGCCAGACTAGAGAATTAACAACTCTACCGGAAGATTATCATCCACAAGTGAAAGAAAAAGAGGAATCCATCGTCATCCTCAATTGATTCACTCGAATTAGGATTATACTGATTGGAATAAAAAATTCTGTTTTTTTTTTTCATCCAATTTACGTGACAAAAGACCGTTAAAAAATTTTTCAACTTAGTCACTATCGATTGGCTACACTGTCCAGTTGGATTTTTCTTTCATTTGTAATTTTATTTGGATTAGATACTTGAGTTAGTTTATATTGTGGTCATCTTTTCAACTTATGCGTTTTTTTGGAGAAATCCATACAAATTTGTGACACTATTGATCGACTCATTAGATTGATAAACAATAACCTAGTAAAAATACCCGTCAGAGAGTGACCTTACCGACTTACGGAAAAACATTATCCGAGTTCGACAACTTACTATTTTTTTTTCTTTTATTAAAATTCATTTTGCATTCAAATTGGAAAGTTTTTTTTCTCAAGTTCTCAACTCTATTATTGGAAGTGTTCATATTCGTGTGGCGGAGGTATGAATCAACACAATGCGGAGAAACGATGTGAAATAAAATGGGTCAATCAAACTTGAAATTACGTTTTCAATAAATATCTTCAAATCTAACAAAATAGGGAATTTCTCGTGGAGACACTTTTGTAGGGCAGATTAAACGCTGCAGAGATGATTTTGACGAACATTCCTTGCTTACAAGTTACTTGTACGACTTCACTACAGAATTAATTCTGTAAAATTTTCCACTTGAAGTCTAGCCCGACCTCTTCAACCGCATTTTAGATTATGACTATTGCAAGATCCTGATCTGATCTATAATTCTCTCCTGTTATCGCTCGACTCATACAAATTATGTATTTCTACAAATTTCTTGTTTGAGTTTCTTTCTCATAATATCATTTTGAATCCTCTCACACCCTCCACGCATCAGCCCTGGCCAGTCTATTCTGCTAATTAATATTTATCTTTAATTTTAATACCTGAGGACTTAGTTCCAGGAGTTAATTAGTACTGTATAATCTTAACCATCACGTATGAAAAAATTCAATAGAATTTTCTAGCGAATTCACTAGAAAATTCTATTGTAATTCTATAGGAATTCTACAGGGTTTCTACAGGATTTTTATTGGAATTCTACTGAAAATTTCTGTTTGTTTTTTGCGCTGATTCTATTGGATGTTCTATAGTCAAAATTCAATAGATTTTGAATTTCTGTTAGAATTTTTCTATTTAAATTTTTCTATTAGAATTATTTTTCACTAATTTTCCAAGTTTTTTTCACTCGGATTCTTTAATGCAAAACGAAACCGAAACCAGCGGAAAAAACAGAAAATTTGTGAAAAATAATTCTAATAGAAAAATCTCAATAGAAAAATTCTAACAGAAATTCAAAATCTATTGAATTTTGACTATAGAACATGTTATGTCCGGAGAAAGATTTTAGCGTTGAAAGGATATGTTTTAATTGTCACATTAAAATCAAAGCTAAAATTATTAGATTTTATCATTATTGGACGACGCAAAGTTTTATACTCTTACCTTTTTCTAAAATATAAAGGAAAAGGGTTTGATTTAGGGATAGGGTTTGAGTTGAGACTAATTACTAATCAGGAAATTTGGAGTTGTAATGGGAATCAAATTTGAATTTAAATATATTTTGAATAACT